AACAAAAACAGAATTGATCTCATGGTAGCTTCTGGTTTCTGTTCTGGTTACAAGTAAAAATAACGGTGAAACGAGGAAAACCGCATCCCTTGTTAACAAGTAAGCTATATCCAGGAAGTTTGGGGGCCACCAAAAAGCGTCTTTTGTCAGCGCTGTGTTCCCTTCAGCAACGTTCCTGCTACTCCCCTGCCTACACACAAAAGCAGATCAATCGCCTTCGTTGAATGATGGGTAATAAAATGTCCGTTGGGCCAATTCATACCAAAGGCAGACAGCCTACCGGAGGTTTTTTCTGGAGTGGTGTGGTGTAAGGGAAGGTAATTCGGAAAAAAGATGCTGCTGCAGGTGTGACACATCAGTTCGCAGTCAGTCATGCGGGAGACACCGGGCCAGAGCAGTGGCCGCCGACGGCGGGCGGGAGCAGGGCCCAGATAAGGAATATATGACAGAAGGACTTTCTTTCTGTGACTTGGCTGTTAGCGCAGAATCTCCAGCCTTATGGCTTTTGTCACATTGTTTTGGCAGTTTCAAGCTTCGGGATTTGTTTCCGCCTGAAGTGCTGCGACAAGTCTTATCTCTTGAAAAGCAGCCAGCGAAATGAGGGCGCATGAAAAATCTGTCGCTCCGTGAGCCATCGATTCATTTTCAAAATTATTAACAGCCTATGTCCGGGCCGTATTTTGGCATCTACCCTGTTAAGGCAGATACCTCCTCAGTTATCCAAAATGCCTGCCCGCTCGTGGAATTTTGCCTCCCCAGAGAAGACAGTGTCGAATGAAAGAATAATCTTGGGGAGATGGATAGCCTTATTTACTGAATGACATAGATTTGTCTAATAGGCAAGATTGTGCATCAGTGAAGAAACAGCCTTCATCTTTACGCCCTCCCCCCCCCCCCCCGGGTCATCGGGCTTGCTTTCTAGAAAAAGTACCTGAAGTACGCCCTGAGCTTGGCCCTTCCCTCCCCCACACTTTTTGAAACGTTCCTACGCCTATGATTGACGGCATGTCTTTTTGAAGATGTGCAGGTCGTTGAGATACAAATAAGACGAATTGCTAATTAGGAGAAAACCAAGAGGCCGAAATGTTCATTATCCGAATGACAATATACCGGAACTGGATTAAGGCGACTGCCAATCAGACGGATGGAAAATCACCGAATGAGTAACTCACCAAATGCATTTTGTCAGAATGTGAATTTGTGCGAACGGTGATAATACGAGCATAAATTCGTCGAATGGTCGGTTAGCGGGCTTGATTTTGTAATGTAATGTGAATAGGATGACTGAAAGTTCTCTGAAGAGGTAGCATCCGTAAATCGCGAGGATGGTTCAGGAGGCTGCTTATTTAGTTTCGGACATACATACAGCTGTACCCATTGTTCACTGGCCCGTCATATTTTTCCATTGGTCGATCCATGGCTGGGCCACTGGAACAGTAGCCATTCAGCCCACCAGAACAACAGCCCATCCCTGTGACATGACATGGCACATTACAGGTCACTTTTGTCGATGTACATTCGAGTCCTTTCTATAGAGTTTTTTAAAGAACTATTCAACTCGGCTTGCTATACTGTCGTAGCATGCTTAGTTATTACGGTAGCAAAAGGAAACCTGATGGTGGCAGTCACAAGACAATTTGGCGTGGTCTGGCAGCCATTTTGATGCAGTGCGACGTGATAACTCTCCTATACCGTCTTTCTCATGGCTCTAAATTGCATGGTTAATAGGATCTTAAGGAGGCAGGGGGACTGATTTTGTTGCAATGTGAATAGGACGACTGAAAGTTCTCTGAAGAGATAGCATCCGTAAATTCGCGAGGGTGGTCCAGGAGGTTGCTTATTTAGTTTTTGATACACATACAGCTGTACCCATTGTTCAAATTGGGAAGGCCTCAGCAGCGCTGAGGCCTTCCCTCGTAAACGACGGTGAAAATGCCCAGAGCGAGGATTAAAGGGCTTCTGCTTACACCCCATCAACATTTCGACATATATGCACTCGGCCAAAACGCGTAATGCTAGTTAGCATTTGACTGAAGAGCACTTAAGTTAGTTAGCATTTCAACAAAGAGCGCTTGGGTAAATTGGCTATAGTCTAAACGACACTTAGATAACTCTGTATGTAGTTGATGTGCATTTCACTTTATGAAAATTTCTTCATTTTTTCACGTCGGCAAAAGCGCATGTCGTCAAATTTCCGTCTGACTTTTGGCATTTCGCCCTATCAGCAAGATGGCAAAAACCGCGTCGGCAAAATAGCACTGGGTTAAATGCGTTCGGGTAAAACACATCCGGCTAAATGCATTTCGGTTATTTGTCGGGGCACAGCACAAAAGGTCGGGGAGGGGTACGACACAACAGTTTTTTACTGTAAGCCTAACGCATTCGTATACATATAAATGTATGTGATGGATTTGATAGGAGGAGGGGCACGTAGCCCGGGGCTCTATGTGCGTAGTTAAATGCGATGGTCAAGGCGAGCAGGGAGTGAGGTGTAGCCAGATGTTTTATCAAACAGTCCATCTTTGGATATCACCGAACCATCAAGGGCTGTGGTTTTTCAGTAATAAGGCGTACTGCGTTTTTATAGCAGGCCGTAGCCCGAATATACCGAGAGAGTCAGATACGCCCCAAAGTCTTCGTTTGTCTCCCATCGTCCTTCACGTTTGCACTACTCACGACAGTCATCCATCCAAAGTGCTTCCGCTCCGGAGCGCGGAGGCACCACGGTTAGTCGCCTGTTCATGACGCACGATAAGTCCAACATAGGTTTTCCCACTTGAAGGTAGGTTCTGCCACCCCCTTCCCCCCCCCCCCCCTGATACCATTGCTAGTCAACACATGAACAAAGAAACAAGTCAGCAGCTATGTCCGCCTCCCACTTCTATTTTCGTCCGCACGTTTCGTGCCGTGGTAACCATCCTATGAATAAGCGAGTGGCAAGCACTTCCTGCACCACGGCACGGATCCAAAAATAGCTTATTCAAGCCGGACACGTCGGTAGCGCCTCGAGACCCTCGGAAAAACACGCCGACCAGGATCCCAAAAACGTCTCCAGTGGTGCTGAAAATAGCCACTGTCAGCCGGACGTGTCTGCCTCGAGCTTGTGCGGCGCCCATGGCGACAGTGCTCTGGAGGCATGGCCCCTTCAAAACAGTTTTCCGTTATCTCTCTAGATAGAGCAGAATACCCTGACTCCGAACAGCAGGCTGCCAACCCCCAAAGTCTAGAGCATACGAGGCATGGCTACTTTTGCGTTTTGTCTTTCACAGTTACACTTCTAATAATGCTAAAATAGAGCCAACACTCAGTGATACTTGCATCCCATATGTCCTATGTTAGACCAAGGCTTTGCAAGATAATAAAGTATGCACTCCAATGTCCTGGCAGGAATAGCGGCAATAAATTAACCGGTTTCTCGGCTTGTGCGTAGTGAGATCTTTCTCTAACCTTCAGTATACCAGAATTGATTGTTAAACGACGTTGTCATGAAAACGTTGGTAATATGGACAAAACTCTACTTTTAAGGTGTGTTCATGATCACGGGCAGAGGAAATGGGACAAAAAAACCTTCTAACAACCAAGACACGTGAATCCAGATGTGTTCCTAACCCCTGCCCAAAAAATGTGAAAATAAAGCATATCACTCACTGTGTATCCGTCGCTTTCATTTTTGTTTGACCTCGTTCACTCGCAACCGCGAGCGTCACCTGAAATATTCGGTTTTGCCAACCAGGACCTCCTGGTACTAGAGGGCATTTAATATGAGCATGAGACCTCCCAACTATATATGAAGCAGACCGCACGCCGTCCTTAATCTTATCGAGCGTCTGCTGCAATTTTAGTGTTACTATGGGTAAGGGCGGTTAGAATATGAGAAGATCGTATCGTAGTCTGCTAGCGAATATAGGCTTGTAGCAACGTGATGGATGACTGATGACACTACTCGCGGGCACATCTAACGGTTCCTGCCATACCCGGCATCCTGGCCTCAGTCCTCGGATGAATGAGAAAGGACAGGTATGATGGAAAACTACGGACAAATGGTGGCGTCGTAACCAGATGTTTGCCCGACGTTTACCAACAAAACGATACCCGTGATGCCTTGTTTATTCCACAGCACGGCGAGCAGCGCGTGTGACGGTGGACATGCAGTATGAGCAGCAGCGCACTGACGTGCGCACGGCCGTTGGAGCTCCATTGCCGCTAGCTGACGACATACCACACGAGCGTAACCATCCACAATCCGCCGAAGACTAACACAGACAAAAAACGTGGCCGAAATCCTGCACACCGATTCGTTTCCTCCATGCCACGCACGCCCCAGTCTGATCTCCCCTCCCATTTATGTCTCGTAGTTTCAGACACATCAGCCATCAGAAAACACAAGCAGCAAAACACGACCCGGATCCAGTTCCAAAAGCGGGTACAAACAGTGCGCCCGGGCAACTGTTTCAGAAACGCCGGTCGTCCAGATACCTCGAACCAATCCCACAGCCGGCCCCAAGACGGCTTCTGAAGCCAGGGCCCCTCACAAGCGGACAACAGTGACCCCGCCACGTCCGGCGCAGGTGCGGACGGGGGGTGGGGGAGGGGGCATCAGACCCGGCCGGAGCCAGGGAAGCCGGGCTAGATCACGTGACACGGAGAGCCACATCTCGTCACCGACCACAGCCAAGTCCAGGCGTACCGACCTGGTCAGGTCGCGGGACAGCCAGTCAACGCCCGACACCTCCCCTGCCGTTAACTCGCACCACAAGCGGGACGGCGTCAGGTCGCGTCGAGGTGGCCGCCCGCCCATGCTCCCCGGGGCTATCAGGGTCCTACACCTGCTCGGCAGCGACGGCCTGCAAGCGGCGGCTCCACTCGCTGCTGTCGCGCCGGTCGGCGGCCAGGTCGTCGCGCAGCTCGCCGAGCCGGCGCGCCAGACTCGGCTGCGGCCAGAGCTCGGGCAGCGTCAGGTCGCACCGGCGCCGCTCCGCCGCCGGCCGGTCCAGGCTCACCGGCAGCTCCGGCCCCGGCACCAGTGCTGGGACGAGGCCGATCGCCGGCGGAGAGGAACGCAGGCGGGTGGTGGCCAGCGGCGGAGAGGCGCGCAGGCGGGAGGTGGCCAGCGGCGGAGAGGCGCGCAGGCGGGAGGTGGCCAGCGGCGGAGAGGCGCGCAGGCGGGAGGTGGCCAGCGGCGGAGTGGGGCGCAGGCGGGAGGTGGCCAGCGGCGGCCGAGCCGGCCGACGCGACGACACGGGTACCGGCGGCAGGCCGCCTGAGCAGCGTGACCCTGCAACAGCGGCGGGTCAGGGTCGCAGCTGCTACAGTGTCTCACACGGCGGACGTGCTCGCAGCGCGCGGGCGGTGCCGGAAGCCGGACGGCGCCAAGCTCGGACCGCCGAGCTCGACACTCATGATTTTGAGACAACCTGACCATTTTATGACGGGGGGCCAAGTCGTCTCCGTATTAAACGACGCTTCTGGGGTGACGGCCAGGGGATTCCTGCAGAAAAATACTAATTTTTCAGGAAATCGCGTTGCGCCCTTAACAAAAAATATCAAAAATGCTCCCATTTTTCGCTTCGAAAATCCTCCCGCACCCGTTCGGGCTACGAGCATCATAATCAAATCGTGCTAACAACAAGCGATAGATGACACTGTGCAGTGAAAGGTGTTGGTACTTGCTTGAAGTGCAATGAAACATTTAGGTCCAGTCTAGGGGCAATTCTCACGAAGCGGCACTAATGCAAAGATGGTTCCTAGCGGTTCCAAGCAACAACTTCTCGCGATACACGTAGACCACCATCATAAGCCATGCGCTTCTCCACCAATGGTATGCGGACCCGTATCGGCCGTGGATTGCACTCATCAAGTGGCCTGCATCCACACATCACTACAAGGACGTCTCTTCGAACAGATACCCCGGAAATGACACAACTCATGTTAAAAGAGCATAACCTTACCTTGGTCCACAAGCTCCCTAAGTCGTTCCTCCCAGCCCAAGGACATGTCCATTTCCGTTTTGATATCAGTGCTGACATCTAGCGAGGGACGTGGCGAGTTGGACTTCTCCGGTCGTCGCTTGCTGACCGAGTCATTCAAAAACTCTTCGAGCGGCCTCTTCGCGATCCCAATGGACGCATCCAACGACAGAGACACTGTAAGCACGATCTCGTGAATGCTCTTCAGAGCCAATCAATAAAAACCGTATCCATAAAATACACAGAGCAAATAGGTCATGATTTACGCAACGAGACACCAACCAGCCTCCCAGCTGTTCCACGGTTACATTACAGCCGCTGGCATTTCCACGAGTCGCCGCCTGCCGGCGCCGGAGCTCGCAGCCGCCCGTCCCTGCTCAGCGACGGCCCGGATCATCCGGCCGCCGTCCGCACCTTGCGTCTGTCCGGCCGACGTGGCCTCGGCCCAGGCGTCCGGCACGCGGAAGTGGGCCATCTCGTCCGGCAGGAAGTAGGCCTTCTCCGAGCCCGTCAGCAAGGCTGTGCGCAGCTCGATGCAGCACTGGCGGCGCACGGGGCGGTGGCCGTCAACGGACGCGGCACGGTGAGAGCGGCGGGAGGGGGAGGGGGGGGGGGGGGCGTCACGCGCGGCGGACGCAACAGCACACGGAGCCAGTGACAGTGACCCTGGCTGCTGGATGGGAAACACCAGACTATGGGGTGGGCGGAACAAGCTCGAGGGTCAGCCGCACAACAGAACAAGCCCCGCATACATTCCGAATGTAGGGCATGCGAGTCCTTTTTCAATGGCAATGCATCCACCCCCATATGGACAAATCCGTGCACGCGTCATCATCCGCCGACACGGTGAAGTCGCCTACGGACGAGCCACAATGTCGCTGACGGGTGAGCTTTAAAAGCACGTCGACTGCTGAGGTCGTTTTGCACCCAAAAGCCGCAGTGTCCGTGAGCCACAGATTAAGCCAGGCCACGACCCGCGGCCCGGCTCAGGCACGCGCACCTGGATGATGTCGGTCCAGGGCAGACTGGCCGCCAGCGGCCGAGACGCGATGTCCTCGTGCAGCGGCCAGGCGGCCTCCTCCAGCTCCCGCAGCCGCTCCTGCAGCAGACTCTGCACCCTGTCGGCGCAGCGCCACCACAGAAGCCAGTCAGCCTGGAGCAGCACACGCCACCTGGGAGGCGGGCTGGCCTCTGCGCGAGTTTGGCCAGCGTGTAGATGCTATGACTACTGGCATACTGGCATCGGAATCTTCCATACCGATGGCAGCGAGAGAAACTACACACAGCCGAGGACATGTCTCGAACCCAAAACTCCGATCATAATATCGATCATATCACATAATATCGATCACAGATCAATAAATCCGATCATAGGAAAGACAGTTTTTTCCCAAGCTACCGCTTCCGCCAAACGGTCAGTAAGTTATTCGCGGTTCTGCCAAAAGCTTTGATCCGTATCAGACAGTCCTATAAACCCCTTAGGGAGAACGGAGCTCGTTAGACGTTTACACTGCGTGTAAACTATACAATGTCCCTGCCGGACACACTGTTTTCATTAGACACAGCACAGAGCCCTCTATACAGTGACGTGGCAGTGTGGGAGGCCGGCAGGTGGCGTCGCCGGCAGGCTGACCTGTACAGGAGCGGCGTGCAGTCCTGGCCGGGCTCACACACGCCGCCCACGTAGTGCAGCACCTCGGCGCAGCTGGCCGCCCAGTCAGCGTCTTCGTCCAGCACCAGGCAGGGCAGCGTCAGCCGCTCGACAGACTGGCGGCGGGCACGGCCGGCCGTCAGCCGCGCCGCAACCACACGTGTGCCACACACACACACACACACACACACACACACACACACACACACACACACACACGCGCGCACGCACACGCGCCCGCACGCACGCACACACACACGCACGCACACACACGCACACACGCACGCACGCACGCACGCACGCACGCGCACGCACACGCACACGCACACGCACGCGCACACGCACGCACACACACGCATGATGTCAGCACACAACGCGGCTGACATATCGAGCACCAGCGGCGCGAGCGAGATCAACATGAGTCCAGTAGCCGCTGTCCATCACCAACACCGCTGCGATCGCGCCTGGCACCCAGCGGGAGACCCATCAGCCGACCAGCGGCGCGCCCCACTACGGACGCTGTCGGTCAGCTACGAGAAGAGGACCGGGCTGGGTGCTACCCACAAGGTGGTCAGACCGGAGCCCGATCCAGGGTGGCTGCCATCACCCGTGGCTGGAACACACACAACCGACACGACCGCCTCGACCATGGCGGCGGACGGCCGCCCAGCGAGCGCCGAGGGCAGACGCTCGCTTGACCCCAGCGCACCGTTGTGTGTGGTGACCCCGAGCTACCGTGGTGGTGACCCCATGAGACCGTGTGGTGACCCAAGAGTACGGTGTATGGTGACCCCAAGAGCACGGTGCGGTGAACCCCAGGGCACCGATGTGGTGACCACTGAGCCACCGTTGTGCGGTGACCCCTGACCACCGTGTGGTGACCCCCCGACAGTGATGTGCTCCGCGGGTGTCCGGCCGGCGCCTCACCTCTCTAAGCAGGAGCAGGCGGGCAGGCCGGTTCCAGTCGGCAGGCGCAGGCGGCCGCCGGCCGGGGTGTCGGCCAGCTCCGCCGGCGGCCATGATAGCTCCGGCAGCGAGTGGCTGCTCATCACCGTCGCCAGGTGGTGCACCGCCGCGTTAAACAGCGCGATCAGGGCAGCTGGCGGCTGTAACGCGCAGGGGAGGGGGAGGGGGGGGGGGCGTCAGGGTGGGACGACGTGAAGAAGCGCCACCCTGGCGGACTCCCGACATTGGCATGGCCAGCGGGTGGTACAATGTGCATTAAAGCTAGCTGAATCGAGGGTCAAATAGTGATGCAGGTGCATGGTAACTACATATGGGATGAACCCCACCTTATCGACAATAATCACCATCCGGTCAAATGAGCATGGTTTATAACATGTGAAACACTAAAATAGTTTAAAAAGCAGACTTACATTGATCCATATTCAAACAAATCACAGAAGCCACAACAAAGCAGACTCCAACGACACGCAGTTATAGATCGGCTTCACTGACCTGCTCGACGCGCTTTTTGTTCCTCCTCATGTGAAGGTTGTCGTACATTCGCTTGGTGACCTGTTCAGCGATGAAGTCCTCGACCACGTGTCGGACGACCCCACTTTGAAGCGAAGGGACAGCCGGACGGTTGTCGAACAGCCACTCCAGCATCGACACCAGCTGAGAAGGGTCCCGCGACTCAGTCAGTCCCGCCGGTAAGCAGCGCGTGGTTAGGAGCGCCGCGATTCAAAATGTCCCATATGTCGGGAATCGTCGTCCGGGAGCCCACGCGGGACTCACAATGCGAGTCGGCACTTCCAAACTATAATGCTTACAACAAAGGATAAACAAGACCATCCAAACATCACAATGAGCAAAATAACGATACTGCACCCACCCATCGCAATAGTACCCACCATGGCGACAGGCTGCTGCCACTGGCCCACATAATGTAACACGCAGTGTAGTACAAACATCCCCTGTGATTCCGGTTCGTCCCCATTGACAGCGCGCCGGTCCCCAGGCGCGGTCCCCTCCCCTGCACGTACCGCCTGTCCGCTCTGCACGGCGTCCTCCAGCTCGACCTCGAACACGCGATAGGCGCTGATTGGCTGCGTGCCGAGACAGTCGGGCAGCCGGAGTCGGGCCACGGCGGCGGAGCGGCCGCCGGGCGGCGCCACCACCGCCAGCGGCAGCAGCGGCTCGCGCGGCAGCCGCGTCAGCAGAGTGCGCAGCCGACACCTCGTCGTCAGCGCCGGCCAGCGCCAGCGCCAGGCCGGCGGCACCCACCGTCTCGCCGGCCAGGCCGCGCGAGGCGCGGACCACCAGCGACAGGTGCCGCTGCGGAGAGACGGCGCCAGAGGAGAGCTGCAGCACCTGCGGACGGCGGCGTCGGGTCACGTATGGAGGCGGTCGGCTAGGGCGACCGACCAGTCACACTGGGCGCCGGCGGAGATACGCAGATACGCCAGCCGTTCAAGGGAACGACACACATTGAACAACTGAGGCAAACATAAAATATGATTACATAGGTTCACTTACAAGTACTGCTACAAGTGTAAAATACTTCTAGATTTCATTATTAAGCTAATACTTTCCTCAATATGGCATCATTTGATTACCTCATGGCAAATCCCTATGAACTCAGAATCGCTGCCAGACTGGCAGTGTTAGAACTACTACTGTAGCGGACAGGCTGACCCACTTGTAGTATTCAAATTTTCCGATAGCGATGGGCTTTGCTAGCGCATGTTTGCTGAGCTCGAATATCGTTTGTGCGGGTGATTTGACCCTTTCTCATGGTGTTCTTGTCTATTTTTCAGCGATTTTATGTTTTGAGCTTGCATTCACATACTCCGCTATGACGCTATTCTTACGTTATTCAATGCCCAGTCTTATTTATTTTATTTCCATCATAACTGGCACCATCACCAAAAGTTACTGTATTATGTAGCACAAAACGTGAATCATGCTCAAATCATTCGCCCTTTTCTCCCGTCTCCCGCACTTGCTATCCTGCACCATACCGACACCCCACTTGTCCTGGGCAGCCTACACGCGCCAGCCACAAGTGGCCCGAGGGACACCCTGCTCGCCAAGGTCATCCCACTGAGGGGTCCCTGTGTGGGCTTCGTTCCGGAAGTTGGATCCCATGGCGCAAGCCTTGCTCTACCATTATCTACGCTTGTTTCATCCCATGGCCCTAAAATAGTCATTACTGGCCGAAAGGGTTCTTATCCAAATGAACAAATAATAACCAAATCGCGTTCGAAAATAGTGCCTAACACATGAAGTCGATGGAAGACCAACTGATGTCCATTGATCCCGCGACGGACGCTGACGCGCCAGACACGAATGACTCGACGGACATTTTTGTCAGCCTTGAACGCTACATGGCCAACGATATGGCGTCTTCCCGTGCCCTTTCTATGCTGTCATGCGTGAGTGGGTGACCTTGAATTAGCTTGCACAAAATTGTCTGCACATGTTCGCGTGCGTCATGCTTGGAACGAAGGGAGTTTGAGGACTTAAGGACAGCACGGCTGTGAATGACACTGAATAATCTTCAAAATGGCGGTAAAGCCCCACGCAAATGTAGAACACCGCCACTAAAGCGCAGGCATTGAATGCGTGACGTGACTTTCCGTCAAATCAGAGCATGAGTAAGGCTAACACATCCTCTCCTCAGACATTACGACAGCGCGGACTTATTCTCGAGAAGCGGGTTGATTCGCGATCCCTCCTCCCCCCCCCCCCCCCCGATCCCAGCTCCTCGGACGCCGCGCCTCCCCTGCCTTCGTCAGCGGGGTCAAAGCGGCCTGGGTCCCCGGCCCATCGCGGCACCCCTCTCCACCCGTCGCTCCGCCCGCCCGTACCCCGTCGGAGCGCGCCTCGCCGTCGCTCAGCTTCCACTGAAGCCAGTCGGGCAGCTGGCGACCGGGGCTGGCGGCCACGGCCAGCTTCCAGAGCAGGTGGCCAGCGGGCGCGGCGGCCGCCAGCGGCGCCAGCACGGCCCGCACGCTCAGCCGGCCCGTCTGCAGCCGGTCCTCCAGCAGCAGACGGCACAGGCTCTGGTCTGCCGGCGGGCAGCGGCGCGTCAGCTCGGCCAGACATGCAGCAGATCTCAGCGGCGCGGTGCGCCGCACGCAAGGGCGTCCCAGGCACAGTAACACGGTGCCGGTACCCGTGAACGACAACCAAAACCGACGAGATGAGACAGGTAACAAAAAACCAGCAAACAATCCGCGCGCGACTACGCCATCGCCAACCGACTGCTACTGCTTGCAACCAGTTATAGCCAATACCAGCCTGTTAGAGCACCAACAGCAGCCCGCATCACCAGACCGTAAACAACCAGCAATGGACAGACATCACAGCGCCGTGGAGCCGCCCACAGGCCGGTGAGGGAGCCAGCGGGCTCACCTGCGCGCCGGTCCGCCGGCGGGTGCGGCGGCGGCCGCGGTCCGCCCAGCAGCCGGAGCGTCGTCTCGGGACCGTGCAGCGGCGGCCGCGCCGGGAACGCCACCTGCTCGGCCCGCAGGCGGCGGCCGGCGTCCGTCGCCGCCCGCCAGCGGCACACCAGGCGGCGCAGTGTCAGGCGGCGACCTGGCGAGACGGGCCCAGGTCACGGGCCGGGGACGGAGTGTCAGGTGACCTCACGAGACGGGCCTGGGTCAGGGGACGGGGATGGAGTGTCAGACCTGGTGAGACAGGCCCGGGTCAAAGGACGGGGACGGAGCGTCAGGTGACCTGACGACACGGGCCCGGGTCAGGGAACAGGGGCGGAGTGTTAAGTGACATGACGAGACGGGCCTGGGTCAGGGGACGCGGATGGAGTATCAGACCTGGTGAGACAGGCCCGGGTCAAAGGACGGGGACGGAGCGTCAGGTGACCTGACGACACGGGCCCGGGTCAAGGAACAGGGGAGCAGTGTCAAGTGACATGACGAGACGGGCCCTCGAGACGGACGAGACGAGACGGACGCGAATGCAGAGGCCGTCCCGACAAAGTTCCAGCCCGGTCCAGCCACCCCCATCTGGCGGCAGGTTCCTGTCGCTGCCGCGGGGGAGCACTGACCGATCTCTGTGGCGGCCTGCAGGCGAGCTGCCCTCTGGCGCCGGTGGTCGGTGTGAACCTCGATGGCCGTCTCCCAGGCCAGCCGCTCAGCCTCCTCCGTCCATAGGGTGGCGCAGATCGTGTCCGCCGCCCTGCCACATGCCGACCTGACGTCACACGACTGACAACCGCCCGACCGGCAGCCGGTGCCGCACAGGCAGCCGTGTGCCGGTCGGCAGCACCGGAGTGAAGCGGTGAGCTTCTGGTACAGGCAAGGTCACTCGCTGGCAAGAGCACTGCCAATGCAGTTTGTACCATACACCACCTGTGCAGATGCGCAAGTGCCTTCGGGCCATATCTTGACTTAAAACCGTCGTATCAGTAAATCGTCTGTATCATACATATAGCATTATAATCATAATCATCATCATCATCATCATCCGCCATCATCATCTTCTTCACCATCACTGATTATCGGTCATCGGTCATCGGTCATCAGTCATCAGTCATCGGTCATCAGTCATCGGTCATCGGTCATCAGTCATCGGTCATCGGCCTCCGGTCGTCGTCGGCGGTATTCCTCGTCGTCGTCTTCGTCAACCGTAAACGTCAGTGTAGTTATTCAACCATCATTTTTAGATTCACATCGATCACAGTTAAGCACTACATGTAGTTAGTGGATGGAAAACTGACGCTTGGAGAGACCATCAGTAAAGACAAATTATTGAAGTCACCTGTTCTTTGCGTGCCTGCTCCTTTCCTTCTCCACAAGCATGATTTCCTCCTCTGCCAAATCGTTCGTCTCGTCGAGACAGACCTCGGCTATCAGTGTCTCGGTCAGCACCGCACCCAGGCGCTCCTGAAACACGCGCCAGACCGGTCAGGCGGCCGCGAGACCGGACCAAACGGCCGGGCGCGCGGCAGCGGGTCCGCGGGCACGCCTGTCACGCGGGTCGAACGACGCCACACGGCGACGACAGACGGACACTTCTGCGTCAAGCTAGACGCCCTCTTCTCTGGCGGCCGGGACCGCCGCCGCAGTTGAGCGCATGGTCCCGTGTTGATTGAGTGCCGGTGGCTTCCAACACGGCCGAGGTGGACGGCGGGTGGCGGGGTGAGCCGCACGCCCGGGGGCAGTGGGGACAGGTCAACTACTCGGGTGCGAAGGAGGCCGATATTTTTGCATGGCATTGCCCATGTGCCTTGAGGTCCACGATACGCCGCTCCTTCCCTCGTTCAGGGATGGCCAGTCAACATCGAACCGTATGGCGGTCGACACGGCATCTCTGCGCCTCGGACTACAATCAGGAAGGCAGGTCAGGGTGTGACCGTTCGGAGGCAAAGAGCAACGCACCGACATCAAGGAAAGCATGATAGGGGCGAAGGCAGCGCAGGGGACATAGGTATGATAGCATAAGTTCATATTGACCTCCTTGACACCCACCTGGACGGTTCTGCCGCGCCGCCCAGGCAGGCCTCCCTAGCCCAATCCCTTCTACTCCCTCCAAGGGCAGGTCCTCTTAGACTCTGGCCTCAAGAGAAGAGTCAAATGCACCCCCATCTCGACCTCCCCGGATCCTGCCTTCCTCTCAACACCCTCACCCTCAAATCCCGCCTCGAGACCCTGCCTAGCCCAGCCCCGCTCGTCTTCACCCTCGTCTCCTGGTCGTGTCTGCCTCCGACCCCGCCGCTGTCCTCACCTTCATCTCCTGGTCCCGCCGGTCCCTGGCCCACTGACGCTGCAGCGCCATCTCGTGCTGGCGCCGGGCCTCAGTCAGCTCCGTCTGGCACACCTCCCTGACGACAGGGACACGGGTACTTGGCGGCCCGATCACTGGTAGTTTGCGGAAAGGTGTTCGGCTTACACGAGCGATTAAAGCCTGCATATGGGACGGCTGTCTCTTCTTCTTCTTCACAGACGACAAAGCTTAACATTTAGCACAACATCGGCTATTTTTTGCACACCATTTGCACACTGACACACCGTTTTTGTGTAACGTTCCCACCATTGCATAATGTGAAACGGAAATAAAGCGCAAGTGTAGTTTTTTACCATCTTTTTTGGCATTTCCAGACTCGCAATACTGATCCCCATCATCCCCAACAATATAATTGTCCCAATTGCCCCAATCAGTCCCATCGCCCAAAATTTGGGATCTTTTAAACTAAGCGCAAGCGCGGAACAAGTCCGATCTGCAACGTAAAAGAACCGTAAGTGCCGCGAGCTACAGCAAAAAATAGCGAGTTCTCCTTTCCCTCCGCCGATTCAATTAATAAAAAGCGTGCATCTGCACTTGCACGAAGAAACTAGCCGCACAACCACCTGGATTCGGCGTCCCCGGCCCTATCGAAGACCCCGCCGTCGTCTAGCCTCAGCTCAGCCCAGCCCAGGCAAAAGTGTACTGAAAGGTGATAAAACGTGCAGCGCCAAAGGATCAACCGCTTGGTGAATCGTCTCTCATGGTCAGCCCGCCGCCAGTGGTTCCGTTGCCACGTGAAGAGGAAACAGACGCAGAGAAATAGGACCAATCAGGAAATAGGAGCAGAAAAGCACAGAAGTCTTCTTTACACGCTTCCGGATAAAAACGACCGAGCCGTTGCCGACCGCATGTTATTCATTTGGCAGCGGTAGGGTTGAAGTTTATCAATGACCAGGTCATACGGAGCGCTCTCAAAAACGCTGAAAACGAGGACGGAAGGGAAGATGGAACTCCGAAGACCAAGATCGACTCGACTGTCATCCGAAACCACATCCAGAGTTATCGGCCGTGTGCGCATCACTATCGGCATAACCACGCACCAAAGAGACTGTAGCTGCCATCCAATAGAACAGTCATTGACGACATAAAGACTTAAGTGAAAAACATGGCAAATAACCTTCGGGTGGTACCAGATGGAGGTGAAACAGACGGATATTAGCTTCATCAAATTTGGTAATGAGGAATGTGAAAATTGTACTCGTCACTTGAAACACAAGAAACCAGCGCATACAGCCCCAGAAAGAGCAGGCTTGGTGTACGTGGACGGGTGTGACCGGTGTCAGGAGCATAAAACACTAGCCAGGGCCAGCAAAGCTAGAGCTCAATACGGAAGAGGCGGAAAGCGAGTGTGGTGAAGACAGACACGTATGTAGCGCCGACCTAATGCAGTAACAGAAATTCCTATCCTTTCCCCGCAAAGCGGTCTTTTTCACGCCCGTCTCCTTGATTTTAATAATAAATATTTTTTGCTCTCTTTTTTGCTCTTTGCAGTTTGCTCTCCCTACGCTTAAGCGTGATGCTATAGGTCATCCAATTCTTGCATATCTACGAGGCAAATCAGCGTAAGTTTCAGCTGCTGCTTCAAATTATAAGCTTTGCATATATTTGCGATTGCCCTGACCTGCTTGAAATATCAGCTTTACCATTCAAATACAGAAATTCATGCACTTGTGGTTTTTCATTACATACGCTGGAGAGCTTGTGCTGTTTCTTACAGCATCCATTGCATCTTTGCTTTTCTTACGTTGCGAAAGTCACGTTTGTTACTACAAATGCCAAAATATAAACACCTCTCCCGAATTTCTGTGCAGTTTACATGCTAAGATGTGTAAAACAGCGTATAGCGTGATTCATTTCGATAGGAAAAATTCAATGGTATATAATTCAAGCACGTGCCACCAACCAAGAGCGTGCTACAGCAGAAAATTGGAAAACCTTTCTCCCGTAAAGTTCCTGAAATGTGACAGCGTGTTTTCCTTTGTACGGCACCTTGCCAACGCCACAGAATAAACGCCCACCACTACACACCAATTTGCGCGTTTGGGACCGTTCCATGCATGCGGGTGATAGCCCGAACCAGACTTCGCACAAATATCAAGAACGAAAAGAGTCTATACCATCCACGCTACTACCAGACTTCATGTTCCCGCCCCTGTCCCTTATTACCGATATATTCGCATGTCATATCCGTCAGTGCTTCAGCAGCGCACCGGCGCCTTCACCGTATGCCCTCGTCGACGATTGTGCGGAGCGTGTCACCACACAGCGCGCCGGCGCCTCACCGTATGCCCTCGTCGACTATTGTGCGGAGCGTGTCACCACACAGCGCGCCGGCGCCTCACCGTATGCCCTCGTCGACGACTGTGCGGAGCGTGTCACCACACAGCGCGCCGGCGCCTCACCGTATGCCCTCGTCGACGACTGTGCGGAGCGTGTCACCACGCAGCGCGCCGGCGCCTCACCGTATGCCCTCGTCGACGACTGTGCGGAGCGTGTCACCACACAGCTGCCTGGCCACTTGCTGCAGCACGCCCAGTCCAGTCAGCAGCCGGGCGGAGACGTGACCGGCCTCGGCCAGCACCACCTCCTCCAGCAGCAGCGCGGCCGCCGCCCTCGCCGCCCGGTCAGCCGCCGCCGCCGCCGCCGCCGCCTGGTCTGCCTGCTCCCGCTGCCACTGCAACTGCAACTGCAGCTCCTGCTCCTGCTCCTGCTCCTCCTGCTTGGGCCGCGCGGCCGGCGCCGGCTCCGGCGCCTCGGTGGCGGCAGCGGCGGCGTCGCGGCGCTGATCGAACGCGTCCCAGGCGGCGCGGCGCAGCACGTTCGCCGCGTCGAAGCTGTCGTGTGGCTGGTAGCCGGGGAGGGGGTCGGCCGGCAGCGGCGCGCCCTGGATCACCTGGCGCAGGTCGGACAGCCGCTGTCAGCGCCACACCGCCAGGGTCGTGGCACAGTCACACGCCAACACCCGGCGCACGAGCGCGGGAGGCGGCCGGCTGTCACCGCGGCCGCGCCCACCGGCGATCTTACCGAAGGCAGACAGTCGACCCTGCTCATCGCAGTGGCAACGCCAAGATATTTGGATGTATTACACACCTCGTTAGGTACTCCGCAAAGCACATAGCAGTGACGAATACGAAAAAAGAAAGCAGCATTCACAGGTGTTTCAGTAAACGGCTAGCTAAATCGCCTCAAGATACCTGATCCGACTCCGCATCTTCTAAGCCCGGCACTCCCGTTTTTTCTTTCGCTACACCAATTCACGGCCCCCACACAATGACAGCCTGCCGGTGTCGAGACGGCGGTAGCGACCACGCCGCCTGCCCAGCCTCTGGCCGCCCGCCGGACTCACCTGGCCGACGGCGCAGGCGCGCTTGGCGTCGATGAGCGTGGGACAGCGGCGCACGTCCGGCGCCAGCTCGGGCGCCTGGAACACGGCCCGCTCGAAGGAAAGCGGTGCCCTGCTCCGACTCGAGGCCGTGCTGACGCAGCAGCGAGGCGCACTCGGCCTCGCTCTCCAGGCCCAGCGTCTGCTGCAGCTCGCTCAGCGGAAACTGACGGCGGGCGGCACGGTCAGCGGACGGCTCTCGGCGACACGAAGCGACAGGACGCCGGCTGGGTGGGTCGGCTCGAGCATGGCACACCGTCAGACGACGGACGAGGCCGACGCGGAGAGCGGCCGACAAGGTCTGGGCCCATCGGCACACGCACGGCGCTCGGCCACGCACCATTGCAACGGAAGACACTGCAATCAATCTCAGTTTAAAGCGAGCCAAATATGAGCATTACCACCATACATCATCCTCGGAATTACTCTTATCATTCACCAAAGATTCCACCTCAGCATTCTCATCCAATCGCTCGCCTCTCACAGCATCCCTCACCTCTCACCGAACCTTAACCCCTGGCGCCCCTCGTCACCCCGCGTCGCCCAAGACGAACTCGTACCCGTCGCTGACCGCCGGAGCCGGCGGCGCCGCCTGACTCACCTCGACCACCTTCTTGGGCGGGCAGAAGGTGCGCGTGATGACGTCCAGAGCGCGCGTCCGGACTTGGTTGAAGTAGCGCTGCAGCAGGCAGGCGGGCAGGTACGCGGAGCGGCGCACCAGCTTGAAGAAGCGCACGTAGTTGTTGGTGGAGAGCGCCACGTACACGCGCAGCGCCGACTGCACCTCAGCCGACTCACGCACGGCGTCGCTGTAAGTCTGCACCTCCCTGTCGGAGCCAGGGCCGGAACACGTGGTCACGAGACGCGAGGCCACAAAACGCCGACACGACCGGCCGTAATCCGTGTGATTGCGCTTGTCTCGTCACACAACTGTGAACGCACAGAGCTGACCGCCTCAGCCCAACTTTCCACCGCGTCCGAACGCACTCTACATCTGACGAGAACAGATACACAGAACACTGGTTGACACAAGTCTGAGGGCAATTTGAAGTTCGTCGACCGTCATTGTCGCCCTGAGCCGGGCGACAATGACGATAGTCGCTCCTACTGTCGCCTGGGCGACAGTGCATGATGAGTCGGAGATAACGCCGCCGTGGATGGGCGCCCTGCACTCCCATGGTACCGCCACCATGAGAAGTCACCCTACACTCCCATGAGTAACGCCGCCATGAGAGGTCACCCTACACTCCCTGGTACCGCCGCCATGAGAGGTCACCCTACCCTCCCATGGTACCGCCGCCATGAGAGGTCACCCTACACTCCCATGGTACCGCCGCCATGAGAGGTCACCCTACACTCCCATGGTACCGCCGCCATGAGAGGTCACCCTACACTCCCATGGTACCGCCGCCATGAGAGGTCACCCTACACTCCCATGGTACCGCCCGCTATGAGAGATCACCCTACACTCCCCTGGTACCGCCGCCACGAGAAGGTCACCCTACACTCGTCAGCGGCGGGACCAGCCCTTAGCGCCCGTTCGTCGCTGGCGTCAGCGCCTGACCTGAGGATGTCGCCCTCGTTGAGGTTGAGCAGGATGTCGTAGGCGCGGAACTCGGGCTCGCCGGGACACGGCACGTCGCGCAGCGCCAGGTCGTGGTACATGTGCTTCAGGGTCTGCAGGGCACGACACCAGTCACCGACACAGCCAGCAGCGACAATCAGCGGTTGTGGTCTGGCGACGGCGGCGTCCCGCAACCAAAATGCACACCTTCTCTTTGGCAAATATGGTGCTAGAACGGCAGTCGTGAAGAATCCATCGCGATCAGAACGATGTGAAATCAGCTTCTCATTTTGCAGGTGACGGCACGATAACTCAACACCACGGAACATCAAGTGAAAGAGCTCGGGTTCCCGGAGAAGTCCATCCCACCGCCTTCCTCCGAGACGGCACGTCCGCGTGCCCACACGAGCCCCGCCTGCCGCAGCGCCTCCCCTCGCGCACCTGCAGGCACTTGGTGAGGTTCTCGTTGTTGATCTTCTGGTCGAACATGTCGCGCGGCAGCTCGCAGAGGGCGGAGGCGCAGTGCACGTGGAAGCGGGCACACTTCTCCACCAGGCCGACCGACACTGGGTCCGTCAGCTGCTGCTGCGTGATGTCCTTGCGGATGCCGCGCGTACGGTCCCAGATAAAGTGAAACCTGACGGCGGCGGCGACGGTCGGGACGCCGTGAGGTCGCCAGGCACCACATGCCAGAAGAACTCGTCACGATACCATAACATGTGCCATGTGCAAGATATCAAAGATAACGAAATGATCTTCCGCAGACATATATCTATTTTTCTCCTAGCGTATTTCCACTGACGGACAGTCCACTGGGTAGATGGGAGTATTCTCACTTCCAGCATGTGCGTCAAGCAATGCCAGTAGACCAATGACTGGTCACAGGAGTCCGACAGAGGGCGCCCATCGTGAGCGTGACCTGCTAGCCTCAGCGAGTGACTCACCAGTCGCCAGAGTCGCGTGACTCCGCGTCCATGACGTGCGTGACCAGGTAGTCCATGGTAAGCAGCAGGGCGGCCGGGGTGCGCAGCTCGTGCGGCAGCGGCTCCTCCTGATCGGCTGAACTCCTGGAGTACTGCTTCACTGCCAGGCGATGATCCATCTCGAACGGACCCTGCACGTGAGCACCAACACGTGAACAAGACATATTTTCGTGGCCGACGCAACGCATTCGCGCATCCCATTTACCAGCTGTCTTAAAATACACTCAATAAACCCACACCATACCAATCGTGACAAACGCGCAACACACCGATGCAAACATTGACACAAAGTTCAACATAGACCGCATCTGCCTGCAGCGCATAGCAGCCCTGGGAAATCGCCACACGCCCATGTCTCCGCTCCCCTGACCCACCGACCCATCGACCCGAGGGCTGACCCATCGACCCCGAGGGCGCCGCCGTCGGCTCACCTGCCTCTCCCTGTCTCGCTCGTAGGCGGCGCTGATCTGGTGCTTCTCCTCGCGCATGTAGCGCTCCTTCTCAGGGACACATGTCCGGGCACGTGCCGACCAGCGGCCGGAGCGGGGCCGCCTGCTCCCGGCGCAGCACTGCCGCGCGCGCGCACACACAGAGTGCAGGCCGGTCAGAGCAGCGCCACACGCCAGGGAGTAAGGGGACCGCCGCCACACGCAGCAAACCCAGAACGCGGGCCGGTCAGAGCAGGGACACGCGCGAAGGAGTGAGGGACCGTCGCCATACACAGACAGGACGCGGGCAGTCAGAGCAGGGACACGCGCGGGGGGCTGAGGACCGCCGCCATACACAGACAGAACGCGGGCCAGTCAGAACAGGGACACGCAGGGCGGGGAGTGAGGGGACAGCCGCCATACACGATCAGAACGGCGGGCCAGTCAGAGCAGGGACACGCGCGGGGGGGGGGGGGCTGAGGGACCGCCGTCATAAACAGATAGAACGCGGGCCAGTCAGAGCAGGGACACGTGCGGGGGGTCGAGGGACCGCCGCCGTACACAGACAGGACGCGGGCCAGTCAGAGCAAAGACACGCGCGGGGGGGAGGGGGGCTGAGGGACCGCCGCATACACAGACAGAACGCGGGCCAGTCAGAGCAGGGAACGTGCGGGGGGGGGGGTGAGAGACCGCTGCCGTACACAGACAGGACGCAGGCCAGTCAGAGCGGGGACACGCGCGGGGAGGGGGCTGAGGGGCCGCCGCCGTACACCAGACCGAACGCGGGCCAGTTCAGAGCGGGACACGCGCGAGGGGCTGAGGGACCGCCGCCTACACAGACAGAACGCGCGGCCAGTCAGAGCACGGACACGTGCGGGGGGCTGAGGGACTGCCGCCGTACAAACGCATGGAAGCTGGGTCACACCAAGGCAAGAACTTCATGCTAGACCTTGCAGAGGCTCTGGTGCAAGGAGATATGTAAATCATGGCTCGAAATATACCAATACTTAAACTGCGCAGACAACCAGATACAGGTTTATCAGTGACTACCACCAACTGATTCGCCGAAAGTTAAGGAAGTAGGCTAAAACACACTGAGATCGTCTAATAAGACTAGCAAATTACACGCGGTCCAACCACACCACGCAGAGGAGAGTTCGTAAGCAGCTGAGAGTTTCAGTGGACACACCATCTCATCGGTGTAGCGTCACAGCCGCGGCTGGCGCGGTGCGTCCACTGACCGGCTCTGTGCAGCTTGTCGCGGGCGTCCAGCACGCGGTACCGGTCTGTGGCTGTGGGCGGCCGGCTGCCGAGCAGCGCGCGCAGCTCGGCCACGTTTAGTGTGGCGGTGGTGGCGGCGGCGGCGGCGGCGGTCGGCTCGGCGGCCGGGGCGGCGCGGCAGCCGACGCGGCGGCCGGGGCCACCCGGCGGCGCGGCTTCGGCGCCGGCTCGCTGGGGGGGAGGGGCGCCGGTCAGGGCCGCGTCCCCGGCGTGAGCACCGACGCGCCGGGGTGGTGTCGAGGTCGAGCGCTGGAGGGAGAGGGTGCGCTGGCTTCGTCACGTTTAACAGCAGTCGTGCGAATCAGCCCACCCACTACCTCGTTTGGGTCACCCTATGATTGAGCGCTACGGTCAGCAGGCCTTCTAACAGGTTTCAATCGTGGTCACACGAGACAGCGACGAAACCTGTCTCACCTCACCAGCGGTCGGCACGCTGGACGACTCGCTAAAAGTCCTTTCACTCACCAGCCTCAGTGAACACCGCTTACTGTCACTGGCCTGTTCCCTGCGAGGCCTCACCTATCATCGTGGGAGCCAGCGCGCGGCCCCGGCTCGCCCTCTGGCGGCGACTGGCCGGCCGGTCTGGCGGCGCCCGGCTTCACCGACGCCGAAGAACAGCCGCATGGGCGGCACCTTGGGGTGCACCTTCATGCCGCGCTTGCGGGCCTCGTCGGCCGACGCCTGGCGGCGAGGGACGCCGGTCAGGGCACGCCGGCCCGCGGCCGCTGGACGACACCTCTGCACTCACAGACGGGACCGGCAACAGCGTAATGATGGAACGAGCACCGCAGCTGAGCGTCGCAAGAATCAGATGTGATGCGTCTGAACCCAACGTTAATCATGGTTAAGAAATCAGATTCCTGTGAGGAAAATGCTTTGACAAGTTGGTAACCCACAGCGAGGGCATCCACAGAGTACAACGACAGTTAAGAAGCCGATTCACCACAGGCCGGGTCATATGCTCCACGCCATTTTGCCGCGCATTCACTCCGCCTGCACTGCCAGAGCCACAACTCCGGCCAGCCCCACCACTGGCCGCCCGTCCTCCGCCGACGGCCGCTCACATGGTCAACGAAGTGTACGGACGCCGTGTCCTTGGCTTTGTTGCAGCTGACGCGCACCACCTGGCCGTACTTGGAAAAGTGGCGCGTGAGAATGGTGCGCTCATTATAGCCTTGCGGCACCGTCGGTGCAGAGCAGTGACGT